CTTATGATGATCCCCAGACTATCAGTGAATTGCTTAGCCAGTGGTTCTCCAATGACACCGAAGCGCATCCGTCCCCAATTCTCGACATAACCTGCAAAAATAGCTACAAGTTAGGCGACATTAACCTTAATATACAAAAAATAGCCTCAGTGGTAAAGCAATTAAAAGCTAACCGTAGATGTGAAATAAATGATATACCATCTGTCATATACAAAATCGGTGGCACGGATATGACAGTACTATTGCTTAGAATATTCGTCCTCTCACTAGTGACTGGGACCTACCCTGAAACTTGGAAAAACACGTATATATTACCTAAGCACAAAGCAGGGGCAAAAACTAGTGCATGTAATTATAGGCCTATCAATATAACACCTGTCATATCACGGATCATGGAGAAAGTAATCAAAGACCAAATATCAGACAACTTTCTAAAACACAAACTCATCAACCAGTCACAATACGGATTCCTCAAGAGCAGATCATGCGTCACTTGCCATATAGACTTTTCTAACGAAGTCGCCTATCTAAGAGGTAGGAGAGAACTAGTAATTGTCCTCTATTTCAATATAAGGAAAGCCTTCGACAGAGTCCCACCTAGTCTGTTAGTCAGCAGGCTATGCTCACTAGGGATACGCAACCCCTTCCACAACTGGATAAAATCATTTCTCAGTGACAGATATCAGACAACAAAAATTGGCTCGATGACCTCCAGACCTAGGCCGATTAGCAGTGGTGTCATCCAGAAAAGTGTATTGGGCCCCCTTCTTTTCATTATGTACATAAACAGTATATGTGAGTGCTTTAGTATAACCAAACCAATACTGTATGCAGATGACTTAAAGATGACATATACCTGCACAAATACAGATATTGGTACAACTGTGAACTCCATGCATGAAGAACTAACAGAAATGGATATATGGTGTGACACCTGGAGACTTGAGTTTAATGTCGAAAAGTGTGGCTGGCTCTGCTTGGGCTGTTCCAACGTAGAACGCGACCTAGCAATTCAGGGCCACAAAATTCCCAGACTCAAATCTGTACTAGATCTGGGACTGAAATACTCACACAATCTATCATTTTCTGAGAATATCTCGAAACAAGTATCGAAATCACGCAGGCTTATTGGTTTCCTACTCAGGAACTTCTACAGAAATGAATCCAGAATACTGCTGTACAAGGTTGATGTGCGCCCACTCCTAGATTACTGCTCACTCATATTTGGTAGTATACGCATAGAAGACAAACTGAAAGTAGAAGGAGTACAGAGGTACTTCACGTTAAAATTACTCGGCACCGAAAACGGCATGAACTACTCCACTAGATGTGAAGTACTAGGACTAGAAACATTATGGTTAAGACGACTGCGACTAAATCTGGTACACTTCTACAAGATTCTTAACCAAATATTGTATTTCCCTACTTATTGTACTCAGTTTTCAGAAGACACTGGATATAACCTTAGACTCACTAAAGGTTCGGTGGCTATAGAACAATGTAAAACAGTCACCAGGCAAAAGCTTTTCATGATTAGGTATGCCCAAAAATGGAACAAACTACCTGAGGAAATGCGACTAGCAAGCTCACTGGCCTCCTTCGAAAAGGCGCTTAATGACACACTACGTGAGTTTGCAAGCGATACCAGTGCTAATTCCCATGTAAGAGCTTCAGAAATTATAGGCCCATTTAATGTATGAACTAAGAGAATACACCTGTTGTTTCTTTTACCTTTATCTACAATTTCAGACAAAAAAGCAGTAATCACGACAAAAACACTCATACAAATAAGAGTCGATCGAATTATGTCTACCTGATACAAAGGCTGTACCATAACCAACATACGAATCAAATATGAGAAAACAAGGTCGAAATTTACCACAACATCACATGGAAGGATATAAGTTACTTGAACATCATTTATAATCCACCAACCGGTATCCTTTCCAAAAGGAATGCGGCGATATTTTATCCACAGTGGTGAGGAAATACATAAATACACAGTTCCCGTTGTATATCCTCAGTGGAGGTAGCAGCCAACAACGTAATGCATTTAAAGCACATGCATACTTCCCATCATCACGGCGACACTGCGGAATATGTCAAAATCGTAGAGTAATCAAACCCAACACGCGATATAATTAACTAAATCCGAAAGGCAAACAAGTTGTAGTGCATGTTTGAATATTCATCCATTTGTCGATCATGATGACAAATTCAAATCAATACCTATACAGCGCCAATAAACCTGGATATCTGTGAAGTAACGAAAATATGCTGACAGCTGCATTTTAGATCCCACTGACTCATTCGATGGTAAAATTCTGCTCCTGCATGCCTCTTTCAACATTTTTGTAAGGATTGGTTCGCAGTTACTCTGGTTCCAGATCGAAAAGAATCAAAAATTCACTGGTTGCTGAATCATTGTTACACCGTTGCATATTTAACCGGATACTAAATAATCTTATTTCCAATTTATCACATTGAATTTTAAAATGTCTGCAGGTGCAAATAGAATTCATGAACTGAGCATCCGTGAAGTATGGAAGTGTGCCATTGAGGCATGTAGACGAAAGGCTGGTGAAATGCAATACTTAACACAGACGCAGATAATTTTAAGCAACACTTTAAGTGGATTTTCTTAAAACCAGTGGTCTAACTTCTCTAGTATTAACTGGCGTCACATCGGTTGACACAATTAAAGGAATAGATTGAAAAGTGGTGTGTTCTGTGGCTGCGAACCGTAGTCGTCTAGTTTTGAATTATTATCATGCGTCTAACCTTATAAAACTATGGAATCAGATTCTCCTTCCCGGTGCACTACGATATCTAGAAGTCAGGAGCACACTGTCTTCGATAGACGTGGTTTTACTTTGCGACTGTAATTAGTGAGTCAGCTGGTATTGTGGTAGTAGTAGAAAAAACAACTCCAAATCTAAGCATTTTGTAGATATGAACATATTTACTTACTTTGGCGACAATTTAATCTTTTTATCAAAAAACTCTTAGGGATGTCCACCTTTACTTAGTAATTCAAAACTAAAGGCAAACGCCAGGCTACTAAGTTATTCAAGAGACAGAATTATGAGCGAAATAGTACTTGGATACACTGATTCTAAGGTATTTGAATAGTATTAATAATAATAATCACTTAGCCTATCAACGAGCCGTTTACTTTCAGTCTTAATTCAAAGACAACTTTAGCTACTCACTAAATTATCAGTTTCAGGACAATGCTCTACTCCTGTCTTCGAAATACTTTGCCTGATTGTGTTTTGCTTCAAAATATGTGTACACTAGTCAGTTGGTGTTGCTTATCCACGCATTCAGTCATACTGTCCGACCTTTGTTCCTATCAATCAAAACACCACTTAAACTATCAACAAGTTACTATTACTTCGAAATATACAACTTTAACTGTTCGGATGTACACACGGTGCTAATAACTTTGTCATTTACTTAATGTTTCGACTTTCGAAGTATCAATTCTCCCTTACGTTAGCACCTGTTTCAATTCAAACGGATAGTTCTAACCTTTGACTACTGCACTAGTATGCTTCGTTATAAACCATCCTTCCAAAATATAGGTAATGATAATGATTACTGCTAAGAAATTTATCACGACAACAAGAATGTACTGCATATTAATGACAATATAAGTCAAAGGCGAACCTCTCTTCTAAATGCACTACTCAATGTAACACATGAAGCTAATCTCCCAAACTCTGTAGCTCACAACCTTCGATAAAGTTAATGTTCACTATTAACAGGTAGAATATCCATTTTAGGAATAGGCAATACATTTATTAGTGATTTAACACAATAAAAAATCAACGATACTGGAAACCACTTTCCTCAGCAACGAACCCCATGAGGTCACCGAAATTACTGAGCAGCTAGAGGAGGAGAAAACGGGTTCACAGGATGTACACATGAATATCACTATTAATATAGTCACTAACGAGTTAACACGATGAGAACTACTAGATGTTTATATATATATATATATGTATATTACGTCGGTCAATAATTTTGACAGAAGTGGATATGGCAACCGTTTCTAAACCATACGTCCACAGCTTTAAACATGTTGCACACTACGTCTGCATGATTCCAAGATAATTCTGCGAATTTTTGTCGTACAAGTGCACATAATGTAGCTCCAGGATAATAGCAAAATGTGGGAAGTTTATGAAAGCAAACACAATAATAGGACAAAATGAGGCACACCCCAAATGTCCTTACGTACCTGATCGCGACGACGTTTAAGTTATTCAAATACAGCACAGTACTAGAATGTGTTGTAGTGTGCATTCAACCCAGTTAAAATGTTTGTCACCAAACAGTGGATTCTGCAAGTGTTCCTCGAAGTTAATGCAATTTCCGCCCACATGTGAATACTAGTCTCTACTTGGATTGCATTTACTTTTAGCAATCAAAACACACCAAAGTGCAGAAGCACGAATTCGATATCAACTGTATTCTTAGGTTCCCACGACAGAAATATGTGCTGCACAACAGCTGAACGGAAAATTTAAGACCAAGTACAGGTTGCCACAAAGCTGCAAAGGAATTTTCCAAGAACCAGTCAACGAAATGTACGCCAAGCTTACTGCGCATAACAAATACTCACTGCATGAACCACAGGTTTAAGTATCCTGCTGCACAAACAATGCGTCCATATTTGGGAACAGTATCAAGCAAAAATTCGTATATAAATTCACCCAACAACAGCCAAATAAGCACAAAACCACGTCAACTGCATTAGCCTGGACAAGGCTGCACAAACACGCCTACTTGAAGGGACACAACCTGCTTCACATTGTCTACATTGGCACGGCTTAGTTAATTCGAGTTGCAATATCCAAAGTCGTTTCTACGAGTAAGCATGCAGCAATTTGATTTCTTTCCTTACTTCGGAACCAAGAGGCGAGCACACAGTAATCAAATAGATTTATACTATCTACTGCAAACAGTGTATGATATTGGAATTCGAATGATACACATTCTGGCAATGTCGACTAGGTGAAACGAGAGGCGCCACTTTAAATTGGAGATATGCTGAATGATCAAATGTGGGAGAAAAGAGCGTTTCGTCTGTACCCGCTATCAACAGGAGTTGAGTCATTTGTTCGGTCGGTCGTGCTGAATCGATAAATATAATGACCGTGTTAAACTATTCCGTTTCTCGATAGGTTGTTGGAGTTGTATCCTGTAAACAAATGTTCAGTGACTCAAACCACAGCAGCCGAAAACGAAAGTATTTCCAGCGATCAATCAGATCCGTAAGAAGTAGAAGTTCGCAATTTGAAGTAAACGTCTATATACAAGTAATGCAATGTCAAAAAATGGCTACATAAGACAATATTCTTGTGCATGTTCCAAAACGCCTCTCAATTTCCCATGGGAGTCCTCATAGTCAGGTTAAGCCAATTTCTGTATATAAATTCGTCAGGGTCATCAATCCGTTCATTAGGTAGTTTCGTTTTGGGTTGCTACAGTTTAGAGTCATCAAATATCCCAGTCTAACTTAGATACCGTCTTATTCTTCAATTGTACTTTGTAGAATCCATGTGGATACCTCCAGTTTGTGATAACCCTCCACCTTTTAAGATTGAAGAAGAGCTACTTCCTCCAACACTTGGGACCTCAAAGTCATTGACCAAAACGTCTAGTGTCTCTGCCTCCAGTAGTTCAAATAGTGACCATAAAGAGAACTCACAATATCAGGCAGCGAATATCAGATTTCAGTTCTATCCTGTTCCGGTAATCAGTGGTTTACTTGTTTTCTGTTTGTTCTATTGTGAACGTGTTGCTGAGATTGACCTTTTGCTAGTTGATATGTGTGAAATGATTTAATGATTCAATTCAGTCAGGTGACTTGACTCCCAGTTGAGTCGTCTGTATGTAGAAGTATCACTTTCAAGTGGGAACTCAGTGTTTAATGTATGCCTCTGAAAATGTAAGCATGTTTGTTTCAGCCAGAAGGACTACTATTAAGTAGTCTTATGGATGCTCAGCAACTGTTGTTTTAGATTAAATTATCCGTTTGGTGTACAGTTGACGGCATTCATAAAATTCAGTATAGAATATTTAGAAATCAAGGCGTTCAGTTGGTAGATTAAGAACCTGGATTAACGACCCTATTAATCAGCTATATGAAAACGTAGATTTCGTCATGAGTTGGGAAAGTGGTACGTGAACGTGACTATATTTTCAATGGGAATTATGTGGAAGGCCTCTGACCATTGTTTTGCCACCCAAGATGATTGGGACTTTGTGTTCAGTGATTTCGTCTCTCCAACCAGCAGCATGTCACATTTCTCAAGAAAGGATTTGATAGGGGTTGTGGTGTTTAGGTTACGGAGGACCGAATACTCACTTCCTGAAGTACTAATTAGCTATTAGCATTGGAGAAAGTCTGTCTTTGATTGTAAATATTTGATTTCAGTTTTATCCAGGTGAATTAAATACTTTTGACCACTCTGATTTCTAGCGTGCCAGATGCTTGTCGTTTCCATATCAAGCCTTACCGTCTCACGGAATAACAGTGTATATGTATACGTGGACTGTTCCTGCACCTGATGTCGTTGCCGACCTTTGCTATGCGGAGAAGAGTTGTTTCGAAAAGGCAGACGGGGCTATTGGGCTTTTGTTTTCGAAACCGATTTCCAAGGTGATTCTAAGCATTTTTATGAACAGTTATCTCTGAGGGAATATTTTGTTTTCTCTCGTTTCCTTGTGAGGTGTTATTTCACATGTGTATAATTGGGAACCCCCTTTTATCCTTGTGGACCAGAAGCTCCACTACAGGATACAGCGTTGAATGTGTGGTGTGATATCATTAGGACTGCATTTAATTAGAGTAGTGAAAGTACTAACTTCCTTGATCTGAGAAGTCAGTGAATTATAAAGAGGAATGAGAAGCTTCACTGTGATAGTTATCTAATTTCACTGACAACTAACTAGCTGGCTGAGTTCACTAAATCATGTATTCTCGTGGACGACAACATGAAAGTGGTAATTGACTAGTGGGTGGCACTGTGGCGAGTGCCCAGTCACTTCCAAACCCACTCTGATGAATGAGCCTAAACGACCCTAGTCAATATGTTAGAGTTACCACTCCAGCTGAATTTGAGTCCTCATCTTGTCTGAAAGGACACTGCCATTACGGTGGACAATTCCGCCAGGCTCGGCTTTCCACGGCTGATATACTTCTGCTCACTTAAGTCTTCTTTTGTTGTGTCTGCACTATGTGTCGTTGGATTTTGGTGTCAAATGCATACACTTATCTATTGGAATATGTGGGTAAACACTTCCTCGGAAAGTGTTTTGTTAAGCTATTGTTATCTGACAAATATGTGCAGGGAGCTGGGAGAGGTAATGTCTCAAAATTACCTTAAGATCATTTTCCTGCTTTCTCAATCTTGAGTTTTAATAATTCGCAGTTAATATTCTTATTATGCATTCTGGGATTGTGTCTCATTGGTTTCCGCACACGGATATTAATCAACATTCTGAGGGTTTGGATAATTGTAGCTCTAGGTAGATCTTTTGCTATTTGAATTTCCCCTGGCTTCAACTTCATTTCAAATAAGTTAATCAGCCTGCAGTCTGACCGATATCTAATCGGGCATAATATAGATGCCAAATATTTGGATAGTTCATATGCTGTAGTGTTCCTAAAGTCGACTATTGGCCTAGCAGATTATCCTGTCCCATGAATTTTGACAGTAATACCGTGCATTCTACTAGGAATACTAGTCTCGGTCACTAAGTTAAACCATGTCGACTCACCCAGAGGTGACTTCATTCGGTGTATTAGACCAGCTGTTGGAGTTTTGATCCTTACTATTGATAAGCATGTCTGTGGGTTTCGTAATCTCCTCATAGGGATGCATTTGAATTTGTTGATTGACTTTCTTAATGTAATCTGATTTGTCCATAACTGCTGTTAAGTTAATGTTATATGCTTTGGCAATTACTATGCTTCTGTCGTTAAATTAGCTTTTTCGGGCTGACATTTGTGGTTTTGATGAGTTTTGTTTGTCGTTTTTTGATGTCTCAATGTGTTGACATAGATTGTGTGCTTGAACTTGTGTATCGTTTGTCTAATCTATGGAGCTTAATGTTACTTTTGTGTGAGAAATGAGATCTTCAGGCTTTATTGTGTTAATGGCTGTATTGAAGTTTGCATGTTTCTGAGGCGCTTATATTTCTACTGAGCATAGTGTTGTGGTTGTGAAGTTAAACATGCAAGGTTTTGTTTCGGTGTCCTGCTTGAATGAAGTATGTTAAGCAACTGACTTCTGGTATTTCTTATATTCGCGATTAGTAAACGAGGCCCGAAGAGCTATGAATTTCAAAGCAGTGCTCAGTAAGAATGAGTGGAATGGTGATGCTTCTGCCGAGAATCTTAAGATTGGCTTATGCGGATAGCTGAGAAAGGCACTCTTTTTGACTGACCTACGGATGAATGTCTCGTTGATGACTGAACCTTATTAGTAGTAGTCCACGACTGAGGTCGACATCGTCACTGATACACCCTTGAAATGATCAAACTATGCTCACCATTCTGGGGAAATTCATTGAAATGTGTCACGCAAGTTTTATATTTGACACATATCATCATCACCATCACTAATAGTAGTAGTGGTAGTCGTACTAGTTTTCTCTCCTGTTTATTGTAGTTTTATAAGCTATTCAGTCAGATCTGTCAATAAACACCTAATAGTGTATGTTGAAAATAGATTTAACAATATGCAAGGTGAATGTTTCTGATGATCGTTTATGTTGGTGGACGCTTTTTCACTGGTTTTTATGTTCATCAATTGATGTGTGGAGAGTAACCACTGATAGCACTTGTGATACCCTAATGATCAATCGATAGGTCCATTATGGCCAACTATACAGTGAATCATCGAGCGGATTGACTCAGTGGCGTCATCTCTGTGACTGCAGTAGTGTGATGCGACTTGGAGTCATCTGTGAAGAGAATCAGTGCCTAGGTGAAGACACACTTTGGTAACGAGTGCCAATAAGAACAGAAGCTAGATCAACAGTTTTATGTCGATTACCTCCAACGAGCTTTGAGATGACTATATATATGTATACATGTCAGGTGTCCTTTGCAATGGAAGTTAGTTACTTGTACAAGGTGTTTTTATGTAGATTAGACTATAATTCTTAGATGCTACGTGAAGTGGCGGGTTTGTGGTATTAGTAGAGAGACTTGAGTTACATCTAGATCATTTCTAATATGAATTTTCAATAATGATTGTAGAAGTAATTCCAGGGTGTCTGTCCTATTATGCTGGTGCTTGATTTTTGTCTTTTACATTTTCATTCTTTTAGAATGTACTATAGATTATGAAGCTATTGAGAGTCTTGTGAATTGGTCACTTTGTCGTACGAATTCATTGTCTTCGGACATTAAAAACAACACTAGTGGATCAGTAAAGATCAGACCTGTCCGTGGTATTTTGCCTAGTTGGCATGTTACGCTGAGTCAAATACCTCCAGAAGATTGGGTTGGTTTAGTAGTCAGACCTATTCACCTTCCAGATAACGATCCTGGTATGTTTTCGATTTCAGAAGTGTGTTCGGAAACTCCTGTAAGTTGTGTGCCGCGGTGTTTAGCTTCGAAACTTCGTAACACGAAAAATGAAGAAGTATCAGCAGTGACCTATTTAGATTTCTACAGAACGAAGTGTCCCCTGATGAGAGATCTACCCATTGATATTTCAATGCCACTGTGCAAGACGTCACGACTGACGCGTCATCAAAATTGCACCCAAGTTACTGTGGGTCTACGAAGAGGTAAATCAATTCTCAGACAGTCAACTTTCGTATGTGAAGGGTGTTTATTACATCCATTATCTTCATGGCTTTGGTTTCTGGTGTCTACGATACCTGCAGTTCTTTATCAGATGTCGAGGGCATTGTTGGCATCACAATTGTCCACAGAATTGGCCGCTGAGTTAAAGAATCCCCATCCATTCTGTCACAAGACGAATCCATCCAATATGACGGATGATTCTCTTTCTCCTGTAACCATTTTCGTGCCTGACCGTCTACGTGATGCTAACTTCTCAAACGGTGAACTGATTAACGCAACTATGTTTGATTTTAAAGTTGATGAACTAACTTCAAAAGAAGATCAGGAGATGGATGATATGGCTGCAAGGGAATTCAAAGGCGCTCCGACAGTTTGTCCTCAACCCAGTGACCTGATCGAGCCAACTACTTTGTTAGGTGCTCGTGATGCAGTGAATCTTGAGCGTCTAGAATTTTATGGCGATTCGTTTCTGCATTTGATATCTACACTGAGTGTTTACGGCGCCAGTCCACAGGATGCGGATGAAGGACACTTAAGCTGGAAAAGAACTTCACTTGTATCAAATGCTCACTTGTGTGATATCGCTCGAGATTTGGCATGGTATGAATATTGTACTGGTCGAACATTCTTTCCATCAGAACATTTTGTACCTCCGTGCTACACTGTTTCGTCTGAGGTTAGTGGCTGTGATGGTAATCTTTGTAATGCAAACAAAGATTACCATCACAGCCACTAACCTCAGACGAAACAGTGTAGCACGGAGGTACAAAATGTTCTGATGGAAAGAATGTTCGACCAGTACAATATTCATACCATGCCAAATCTCGAGCGATATCACACAAGTGAGCATTTGATACAAGTGAAGTTCTTTTCCAGCTTAAGTGTCCTTCATCCGCATCCTGTGGACTGGCGCCGTAAACACTCAGTGTAGATATCAAATGCAGAAACGAATCGCCATAAAATTCTAGACGCTCAAGATTCACTGCATCACGAGCACCTAACAAAGTAGTTGGCTCGATCAGGTCACTGGGTTGAGGACAAACTGTCGGAGCGCCTTTGAATTCCCTTGCAGCCATATCATCCATCTCCTGATCTTCTTTTGAAGTTAGTTCATCAACTTTAAAATCAAACATAGTTGCGTTAATCAGTTCACCGTTTGAGAAGTTAGCATCACGTAGACGGTCAGGCACGAAAATGGTTACAGGAGAAAGAGAATCATCCGTCATATTGGATGGATTCGTCTTGTGACAGAATGGATGGGGATTCTTTAACTCAGCGGCCAATTCTGTGGACAATTGTGATGCCAACAATGCCCTCGACATCTGATAAAGAACTGCAGGTATCGTAGACACCAGAAACCAAAGCCATGAAGATAATGGATGTAATAAACACCCTTCACATACGAAAGTTGACTGTCTGAGAATTGATTTACCTCTTCGTAGACCCACAGTAACTTGGGTGCAATTTTGATGACGCGTCAGTCGTGACGTCTTGCACAGTGGCATTGAAATATCAATGGGTAGATCTCTCATCAGGGGACACTTCGTTCTGTAGAAATCTAAATAGGTCACTGCTGATACTTCTTCATTTTTCGTGTTACGAAGTTTCGAAGCTAAACACCGCGGCACACAACTTACAGGAGTTTCCGAACACACTTCTGAAATCGAAAACATACCAGGATCGTTATCTGGAAGGTGAATAGGTCTGACTACTAAACCAACCCAATCTTCTGGAGGTATTTGACTCAGCGTAACATGCCAACTAGGCAAAATACCACGGACAGGTCTGATCTTTACTGATCCACTAGTGTTGTTTTTAATGTCCGAAGACAATGAATTCGTACGACAAAGTGACCAATTCACAAGACTCTCAATAGCTTCATAATCTATAGTACATTCTAAAAGAATGAAAATGTAAAAGACAAAAATCAAGCACCAGCATAATAGGACAGACACCCTGGAATTACTTCTACAATCATTATTGAAAATTCATATTAGAAATGATCTAGATGTAACTCAAGTCTCTCTACTAATACCACAAACCCGCCACTTCACGTAGCATCTAAGAATTATAGTCTAATCTACATAAAAACACCTTGTACAAGTAACTAACTTCCATTGCAAAGGACACCTGACATGTATACATATATATAGTCATCTCAAAGCTCGTTGGAGGTAATCGACATAAAACTGTTGATCTAGCTTCTGTTCTTATTGGCACTCGTTACCAAAGTGTGTCTTCACCTAGGCACTGATTCTCTTCACAGATGACTCCAAGTCGCATCACACTACTGCAGTCACAGAGATGACGCCACTGAGTCAATCCGCTCGATGATTCACTGTATAGTTGGCCATAATGGACCTATCGATTGATCATTAGGGTATCACAAGTGCTATCAGTGGTTACTCTCCACACATCAATTGATGAACATAAAAACCAGTGAAAAAGCGTCCACCAACATAAACGATCATCAGAAACATTCACCTTGCATATTGTTAAATCTATTTTCAACATACACTATTAGGTGTTTATTGGCAGATCTGACTGAATAGCTTATAAAACTACAATAAACAGGAGAGAAAACTAGTACGACTACCACTACTACTATTAGTGATGGTGATGATGATATGTGTCAAATATAAAACTTGCGTGACACATTTCAATGAATTTCCCCAGAATGGTGAGCATAGTTTGATCATTTCAAGGGTGTATCAGTGACGATGTCGACCTCAGTCGTGGACTACTACTAATAAGGTTCAGTCATCAACGAGACATTCATCCGTAGGTCAGTCAAAAAGAGTGCCTTTCTCAGCTATCCGCATAAGCCAATCTTAAGATTCTCGGCAGAAGCATCACCATTCCACTCATTCTTACTGAGCACTGCTTTGAAATTCATAGCTCTTCGGGCCTCGTTTACTAATCGCGAATATAAGAAATACCAGAAGTCAGTTGCTTAACATACTTCATTCAAGCAGGACACCGAAACAAAACCTTGCATGTTTAACTTCACAACCACAACACTATGCTCAGTAGAAATATAAGCGCCTCAGAAACATCCAAACTTCAATACAGCCATTAACACAATAAAGCCTGAAGATCTCATTTCTCACACAAAAGTAACATTAAGCTCCATAGATTAGACAAACGATACACAAGTTCAAGCACACAATCTATGTCAACACATTGAGACATCAAAAAACGACAAACAAAACTCATCAAAACCACAAATGTCAGCCCGAAAAAGCTAATTTAACGACAGAAGTATAGTAATTGCCAAAGCATATAACATTAACTTAACAGCAGTTATGGACAAATCAGATTTCATTCAGAAAGTCAATCAACAAATTCAAATGCATCCCTATGAGGAGATTACGAAACCCACAGACATGCTTATCAATAGTAAGGATCAAAACTCCAACAGCTGGTCTAATACACCGAATGAAGTCACCTCTGGGTGAGTCGACATGGTTTAACTTAGTGACCGAGACTAGTATTCCTAGTAGAATGCACGGTATTACTGTCAAAATTCATGGGACAGGATAATCTGCTAGGCCAATAGTCGACTTTAGGAACACTACAGCATATGAACTATCCAAATATTTGGCATCTATATTATGCCCGATTAGATATCGGTCAGACTGCAGGCTGATTAACTTATTTGAAATGAAGTTGAAGCCAGGGGAAATTCAAATAGCAAAAGATCTACCTAGAGCTACAATTATCCCATCCGAAATGACTACAAGTGGGTTCAGTCGAATATGTATGTAGTTCAGTTAGGAGCCTGACTAGTACGTCAGATGATTTAACTGATGAAATAGAGAAATCGAGAAAACAATACCAGTGGACAACTATTCATCAGGTCTTATTCAAGTGTGTGATATAGATGATGAAAACATAAGTGATAACGAATTCAAAACATCGACGGCACTACCATGTAAAGAAGGAACATCAGAAGACCTACATAGGAGTCTTAATACCACTGAAACTAGAGGGACATTTAAAACAACCCATTTACTCTCAGACAAACTTTGTCACCTTCAACACTCAATAGACCTAATAAAGCGAAATACGATTAACCAGTAGACGAGGGTTAGTTATGTTATCAAAACATAGAAATCCCGCCAGGTTTAGAAACCTTGGCCACGCTCAGTTAAGTAGTCTCGCGAAAAGTGCCTGCATTGTTATGCATCCACTTCCGTGCTATCACACAGTAGGATGGGACAGAGTAAATGTATTACAAATAAGATAGTTAATCACATCATAGAATAAATTTATTTCATGAAAGCACACAGTGATGCGGTATTATTTTCTGATGACGTTGCGACCACAATTTATTGCTCACAAACATTACGATGCTCACATAACTCTCAGACATTGTCCGTATGATCCCATTATTTCTTATCCTCTGATTTTATTCGTACTAATATTTCTCATATCTCTGATATTGGCGTTGCGTTATTCCTATTTCGTGTGTTGTGTTGTGCTAGGCGTAGATTCCATCGACAAGGATCCACTGATCAATCAACTACTCCCTCCACTTGCCTATATCACTCCAGTGCCCGCACACATAAACTCAACAACACAGGGAATAAAATCTTTACTTCGGTCAGGAAATAAACTACGACAATTAGTTATATTTAATGGTTGGAGGCAGTCGGTATGCATATAAGTATAATGCATATTATAGCCAGTGCTGAGGATCTAATTGATAAGTAAATATTTCCTCACTCAATCCTTTTGTCATCCAAATGTCCAAATGGGTATTTTCCTTTTATATTTAAAACCAAGCATCACTGTCTTGGTTGGATACAGTAACAACGATGTCAAGCCTCAAAACAACCCAACAATGGATGGAGGATGACAATACAAATACGCCTTCCAATCCACCCTTTCAAACTGCTTCCAACAATTAGCTATTCCGTCATGCATTCAATAGTGCCAGTTAAAATCACCATTATTTGGATAATGTTGATTGATGTAAACTCACTCAGACCAGACTGCATGATATTCAACAAGTTCGTCTCCTGTCCATGTAAGTCTGTCAAATGCGAACCGACAGCTTCTATACAATACGCGACTGCCGGGTTCGTCGTGATGAAAATAACAAGGTTGACCCAGATTATAAGTACCTATATGTTGCATTTTCTTGTCATGTTGGTCGGCGTCGAAGATCAGAAAGTAGGTACCTAAGAATAGCACAGTGAGTAGTGTGAAGCATATAAGCTTCATATTTAAGAGTTTAGTACGTACGGTGTCCATCCACTTTCAAATTTAAGCTGGAATTAGGACATTATAAAGTGATCGAACCTATCAATACCAGACACAACCATGCATTGACAAGAGAACTGCTGATGTCTGTTGAGCCGGAAGTTCGGAGACAGAGTGCTGAAGAGAAATCAAAATTATTACCTCTTGTGGAAAGAAACGCCCCTCCCCCCCCCTACACAAGTTATAAATATGGTTGATGTTGAGTTTGGAAAGCTGATGATTTACGATGACTATCGGAATTTCCGAGAGCTAGTCTGCCCTAGTGAGTTATCACATTGCGTTAACAGAATGACAGATATTGACACACTAATCCGTGAAACAGGTTCGGTATGGTGTGATGGACAGTCGATGACGTGTGGCGATGTTTAGTTTCGCAACCAGGGAAATGATATGTTTGTATAAGAAATTTCCAGAGGTTGTCGGCATGGATTCAACATACAATACGAATAAGGAAGAGTAAGATTTAAGTGTAAAGCCAATCACTTGCAGTCATCCTCTATATCAACTGGTCGTTACAGATGGTCTCAACAGAAGTTGTCCAATCATGTACAGTATAACTCTTCGTGAAAGACTTGTTGACTTTGAGGCAGTATTACAGTCCTTCAAGAATATCATAGGTGGTACATTACAGACGGTCACGTTTGTGACTGACAAAAGTGCTGTGGAGCAACGTGCCTGCTCTATTGTATTATGTGCATTCCATGTCATCCGAGCCTTTAATAACAAAGTAAGCGACGTTACTAACAACCTAACGTCCTTAAGTTCCGTGATCCTCAATGTAAAAGGATATTTAAAAAGATGGTGTGCATTACCAATTACGACAGGTAATAATGTTATTGTGTTAACACTTTATTAGGTTAAGCAACTTGATAATGTTAATGAGGTTGCAGTATCCTACAGCTATGTCGTACATAAGTAACAACTTATGGAGTTGCCGTAATATGTGGGCAGCCTGTTATATGAGAGAGGTTGTCACTCTTGGCAACAAAACCAATAACAGAGTCGAGTGCTGCCATAAGCACCCGAAGACACATCTGAGCAAGTGCTTCCCCTTGGAACTGAGCATTCGTGAGATTTGGAAGTGTTCTATTGAATCATCGAGAAGAAAGGCTGGTGAAAGGAATCGCAATCTGCATTACTTCATTAAGTTTGACGTAAGTCCTATAGTTGTAGTCTAAAATCTTTTTAGGTGGACGAAGGTATTTCCAACATTCTGAGGCATCTAACAAACTGTGCCGCCTATTCACTTTACAAAAGCATCAAGAGGCTTCCTGAAATGAAAGTTACGGGTTGCACAGAAACATTTGTGGTATTCGAAGGTGATGGAAACTCCGTTGTGGACAAACATGACTGCAGCTGCCCATGTTTTCAAAACAGCAATATGCTATTGCCATGCCGTCATCCAGTTCATACTAAATGACATATATATACCAGTCTGGGTAAGTTCATGTAGTCTTCAAGTAAATTTGTAAAAGATTTATTTAGGCATAGTACTAGGTGGTTATGAGACTACAACCACACTGTCATCCAATCACAACCGACACCATCGGAGGACTTGGACATGCAGATGCTCATACAAGGAATAATATATCAAGTCAAAAACCTTCAACAGACGCGTCCGAGGATATGTACTATTATCTACATGAAGCCGGTGCACAGGAGGATGATCAGGCATCTACATCGTCATGCTCGGACTGATATATGTACATATTTTTGAAGACAACTTTAAATAAATTTTCCTATGACAACTCTTATTTCTTGTTGATTCTAACTTCATTACCGTGTACGACATAGTCTTTTTATCAATGGGCCTTTCGGAATATCTAATTTTACTTAGAATTTCTAAGATCGCAACATATATCCCGTACCTCACAACTTACGCAACGGCTAGAATTCAGTCTTATCAAAAAGATTATACAAACGAATAACGAGGAATAGATTTATTAATGAATAAATATCTAATACAAAATCAATGACAATGCGGAAATCTCTTCCTTTAGCACCCAACTCCGTGAAATTCCCGAAAGTAGATATTATCTGAAAATGAACATAAGAATTCTAAAGATGTTACCACTGTAAATGCAATATTTAACTACTTAACAGTGTTAAAAATTACGAAATAATGAGTTAAATTGTATATAATTACGTCAGTCAACATGCTTCAAGCAGACAAAAGGGATATTGCATCTGCCTTGTAAACATCACGTCTATGCCATAAAATAAGTAAATACTATGCGCATATAATTCCCAAGTATTTCTGTAGATTTCCCTTAAAGAAATACATGTGGAGGAGCTTTGACACCATCAGCAAAAGTACACAACAAAGTAAGTGAGAATAATCAACAAAACGAACTAGCCCACTAGCTCATCATGTCCATGTGTAATCCTTTAAACTGCAAAACAATTCACTGAAAGTCGTTATAATGTGTGCCTTCAAGTAATTCAACATTTTCTGAACGAAAAAGTATGTAGTTCAACTATTTGTAAACTGGCCGTAAATTACGGCCGGATAAGGACACCAGCATTTGCTGTTTATGCTGGAAACGCTTCATTCCATCGACTTTAATTAGGAATACAAGCATAAAAGTACGTGAAACAACGAATAATTAGGCAAAGTTAAACTTTAAGCACAACTAACTACCGATCAGCGAATGACCTCGAAAGCACCAATCACGTGAAGGGGGCATTTTTGTGTATGGAATACATATATTTATGAAATAATGCATAAAACCAGTAGAAAAGTGTTACAGAGGATATCTTGCTCTTACATGTGATAAAAATAGCTGTCAGTTTTAGGTTGCAGTATCAACACAGTATAATTCCATTGTGGGTAAAATTTATTTTGATAAAGTCTCATAGTTTAACACAGTAATGTTTCCTGAGCAATAAATTGTGCTCGAAACGTCATCAGTAAATATTGCTGTATAACACTGTGAGACTTTATCAAAATAAATTTTACCCACAATGGAATTACACTCTACAGCAGTGTACAAGTACTATTCTTATATCAACACAGCAATTTAACCACACCCTATGCATGTAATTATTTAGGTCTTCTGACCCTTAAAATAACTCTGATCTTCTCTGAACCTAACCCTAAAGAGAAAATATCCCTAAACTAACTGCAATCTAACTCTAACCAACCCTAATGTCGCCTTTATTAGGTTAACCTAACCCTAACTTGTCCATGGCTTAAAGCGTAACTTAGTCTTTCCCAAACCTAAGCTGAAACTTGCCAGATATCTCATTTAATAGGATAACGCTTCGATAAGCATATTTTACTGATGATGAAAACATTATTTGCCAGGTTTCACTAACTTGTTCAGTGAGCGTTTCCAGGTTATTGGTGCGGTCGCACTCCATTGGTAGTTAATGGTGCTTAAAGTTTAACTTGGCTCAAATATCATTTTAACGAGATAGCATGAAGCAATTTAATTCCTTTGTGCTCGCCTCTTGGTTTTGAAGTAAGAAAAGAAATCAAATTGCTTCATACTTACTCGTAGAAACTACTTTGGATATTGCAACTCGAATTAACTAAGCCGTGCCAATGTAGACAATGTGAAGCAGGTTGTGTCCCTTCAAGTAGGCGTGTTTGTGCAGCCTTGTCCAGGCTAATGCAGTTGACGTGGTTTTGTGCTTATTTGGCTGTTGTTGGGTGAATTTATATACGAATTTTTGCTTGATACTGTTCCCAAATATGGACGCATTGTTTGTGCAGCAGGATACTTAAACCTGTGGTTCATGCAGTGAGTATTTGTTATGCGCAGTAAGCTTGGCGTACATTTCGTTGACTGGTTCTTGGAAAATTCCTTTGCAGCTTTGTGGCAACCTGTACTTGGTCTTAAATTTTCCGTTCAGCTGTTGTGCAGCACATATTTCTGTCGCGGGAACCTAAGAATACAGTTGATATCGAATTCGTGCTTCTGCACTTTGGTGTGTTTTGATTGCTAAAAGTAAATGCAATCCAAGTAGAGACTAGTATTCACATGTGGGCGGAAATTGCATTAACTTCGAAGAACATTTGCAGAATCCACTGTTTGGTGACAAACATTTTAACTGGGTTGAATGCACACTACAACACATTCTAGTACTGTGCTGTATTTGAATAACTTAAACGTCGTCGCGATCAGGTACGTAAGGACATTTGGGGTGTGCCTCATTTTGTCCTATTATTGTGTTTGCTTTCATAAACTTCCCACATTTTGCTATTATCCTGGAGCTACATTATGTGCACTTGTACGACAAAAATTCGCAGAATTATCTTGGAATCATGCAGACGTAGTGTGCAACATGTTTAAAGCTGTGGACGTATGGTTTAGAAACGGTTGCCATATCCACTTCTGTCAAAATTATTGACCGACGTAATATACATATATATATATATATAAACATCTAGTAGTTCTCATCGTGTTAACTCGTTAGTGACTATATTAATAGTGATATTCATGTGTACATCCTGTGAACCCGTTTTCTCCTCCTCTAGCTGCTCAGTAATTTCGGTGACCTCATGGGGTTCGTTGCTGAGGAAAGTGGTTTCCAGTATCGTTGATTTTTTATTGTGTTAAATCACTAATAAATGTATTGCCTATTCCTAAAATGGATATTCTACCTGTTAATAGTGAACATTAACTTTATCGAAGGTTGTGAGCTACAGAGTTTGGGAGATTAGCTTCATGTGTTACATTGAGTAGTGCATTTAGAAGAGAGGTTCGCCTTTGACTTATATTGTCATTAATATGCAGTACATTCTTGTTGTCGTGATAAATTTCTTAGCAGTAATCATTATCATTACCTATATTTTGGAAGGATGGTTTATAACGAAGCATACTAGTGCAGTAGTCAAAGGTTAGAACTATCCGTTTGAATTGAAACAGGTGCTAACGTAAGGGAGAATTGATACTTCGAAAGTCGAAACATTAAGTAAATGACAAAGTTATTAGCACCGTGTGTACATCCGAACAGTTAAAGTTGTATATTTCGAAGTAATAGTAACTTGTTGATAGTTTAAGTGGTGTTTTGATTGATAGGAACAAAGGTCGGACAGTATGACTGAATGCGTGGATAAGCAACACCAACTGACTAGTGTACACATATTTTGAAGCAAAACACAATCAGGCAAAGTATTTCGAAGACAGGAGTAGAGCATTGTCCTGAAACTGATAATTTAGTGAGTAGCTAAAGTTGTCTTTGAATTAAGACTGAAAGTAAACGGCTCGTTGATAGGCTAAGTGATTATTATTATTAATACTATTCAAATACCTTAGAATCAGTGTATCCAAGTACTATTTCGCTCATAATTCTGTCTCTTGAATAACTTAGTAGCCTGGCGTTTGCCTTTAGTTTTGAATTACTAAGTAAAGGTGGACATCCCTAAGAGTTTTTTGATAAAAAGATTAAATTGTCGCCAAAGTAAGTAAATATGTTCATATCTACAAAATGCTTAGATTTGGAGTTGTTTTTTCTACTACTACCACAATACCAGCTGACTCACTAATTACAGTCGCAAAGTAAA